TAAGGCTTTCTCGAATGATACTCAGCGCCTAATCGAAGCTGGTATGGAGGAATTTATTTGTTGGTGAATCGAAACACACTTGTAGGGGATTCTTGCTTTGTACGCTGAAGGCACGCAAAGAGGGAGTGTTTTCCTAGTCGAAGCAGGAATCAAGATGGCTCCAAAGAAACCAAATGCCCAAACGAAGCAGGAATCAAACTTGCTCCAAAGAAATCAAATGCCCAATCGAAGCAGGAATTAAGCTTGCATGCATGTAGCCATTGTATTGTGAATCAAGCCAGCATGTAAAGCCAATGGTGCAATCGAATGAGCACTAACTGAAGGCCCTTCCCTTTTAGATTGAAGGAGGTTGTTTCAAAGGAAACACATGCCCAATCGAAGCTTGTATACAGCAAACAAGCAAAAGGCCAAGGCTTCAATCGAAGCTTGGAAATTTGAGGCAAGCTTGAAGGAGATTAGGAGCTCAAACGAAGTCTGTCAAAATTCCAATCGAAAGACACCTTTTTCATCTTCAAAAAAATTTATTTTTCTTTAATCAAGTGCTTGTGACCACCCATATAAGAAAAAATCTTGGAAAACATGATAGAGCAAATTTTGGGGTACAACAGCTAGTATATAGTTTAGATTCCCCTTCACTTGGTTTCTTTTCTTTGTGAGTTCTCCTTGATCGGAATTCTTCTCTTAGGAGTCTACCTTTGACTAGTCTTACTGTTAAAGATTTCCCTTTGGTTGGTCTCTTTTCATCGTATGTTCGCCTTCGACAGGTGTATGTTCCCAAAGTCACCTTCGATTGATACCCTTCTTAAGATTGCCCTTCGGTTGGTCTTTTCTTCTTGTTGTATGTACGCCTTCGGTTAGCACACATTTTTAAAGCTCCACCTTCAGGTGACCTTCTGTTTAAAAAATAATAACCCAAAAATATCTTGCCTACCTTTGTTTCCCAGAGTAGAAATTTTATGGTTCTTTTGGTATTTAATCCTCTTCTACCTTGAATGTTCGAAAGGCTAGCGTAAATCTCACCCTCAGGTTTAAGATGATTGAATAGGGGCAGCTGTTGTACCCCAAAATTTTCCCTCTTATATTTCAATTATTATATGCTTATGCTTCATCATACATACATATACATGTCATTGGTTCTTGTGTTATGGGATCGAGTTTATCAACGAATTAGGGTTTTCTCCTATAAAAAAGAAGATACAATGATCAATCAATACAAGTTTGAGATGTCAGACATCAAGATCATTCTCATCAAGACACATGGTCTTCTATCTATTCAAACTTCTCAAAGATCATCAAGAGATTTCATTTTGTTGGCTAGGGATGGATCACAAGCTTCCTCTTATCTGGTCCCTAAAATCAGAGTTTTTAGTCAAAGTTAACCTGGGGTTGACTTTTTAACCAAATCCTGACTTCATGAAGCATAATATGATTCAAGATGTCCCTACATGTCTCATTTGTTCATTCAAGTTAGCTCAAGGCATTGCATTGGTCAGATGATTGGAAATTGACTCAGTTGACTAAAAAGTCAACAAAAGTTAAAGTACAGTCAAATGGAGAAATTATGGTCCAAAAAAAGTATTTGTCATTATTTTCCATAGAATCAAGATGAATGGTCAAGAAAAAGTCAAGAGAAATCAATAAAATCTCTAAACTGGTGAAAGTTAGGGTTTTTGTGAAACTTTCTAAGTACATAAACATGTTCAATAGTCATCTTGTAAGATGTATATCTTCTTCATCATTATGCCAAATGGTGCAAACAAGGTATAGAACTCAAGAGTGTGTTTCATACTACAACTTTGTTGAAAGAATCATGTCCAAAAAGTGATTGAATCAAAATTTATAAGGCTTTGAAGCCATGGATTCATTAAGCTTTAAACGTTGGACGCTTAGTGAAATTTTTATTGATTTTAATGTGCCCAAGTGACTGACTTTGAGTCAATTCCCATGTGATTTCAAACATCATTTCAAGTTGTATTCCATCATAAAGTTGTTCAGCTCACTACAAGCTACAAGTTTGCAAAAGGAAGTGAGCAAAGATTATTCATCAATCAAAAGTTATGGGTGTGAGAAGATGGTGCCTTATCAAGCATGCAAAGTCAAAAACACTTGGAAGATTCTAAGGATTTTTCATATGACTAAGTAGTGGACTTTGAGGACATTTTTTACGTGGTTCCCAGACTCACACTAGTGCAGAAATGACTTTTTACATCGGGTGAAATTGACTTTTTACATCGGTTCTGGGACCGATGTAAAGTCAGGCGATATAGTAAATCAGGTACTTTTTACATCGGTTCTGGGACCGATGTAAAAAGTCTCTTTTTTACACCGGTTATAATATAAGAACCGATGTAAGAAACAGTTATTATGCACATTTTTTAAAAAATTGATCCAGCTTTTTACATCGGTTGGAAGTAATACCCGATGTAAAAAGTCCCTTTTTTACATCGGTTATAATATAAGAACCGGTATAAGAAACAGTTGTTATGCACATTTTTTAAAAAATTGATCCAGTTTTTTACATCGGTTGGAAGTAATACCCGATGTAAAAAGTCCCCAGTGACGCAACTTTTTACATCGGTTATTACTCCCAACCGATGTAAAAAATCCCTTTTTGAAAGTTTTCACATCAGTTTTGAGTAATAACCGATGTAAAATGTATGAAATTTTTTTGGAATAGATTATTTATTTTCTGGGTTTCCCTATACAAATATAATTTGTACCCATTTTTTCATATTTTTCCAATATCAAACAGACTATATTTATGTCGCTATATAGATTTCATAGCTTTCCAACATCACATATATCACATTTAGGTCGATGTTTTCATATTTTTCACAACAAACTTACAAATTGAACAATTGTATTGCAAACTTGTATTGTATTACAACAAACAAACTTACAATTACAAATTCTTCACAAAATATAAAACAATATTCAACTATTTATAAGTCTTTTTCAAAACTTACAATTACATATTATTCACAAAATATACATATACAAAAATATTCAACTATTTCTAAGTTTCCAAACTTGAATTACCAATATAAAATCTTCGGTAGACAACACCAAAATCATATTGCCTGACAATAAATAATAACAATTAAAATCAGCAAAAAAAAATCAATAAACTCAACACATGAGCAAAAACCACATGTATTATGTAAAAACCACAACTTATACAATTCTATAAAACTCACCAAGATAAACTTAAGTTCCATGTAACTCAAAGAAACATTTTGCCCAACGAAGTCGCAAATCATACAAATCATCTAGTGTTAATTCTATTGGGTCATCAAATACCTATAATACATAAATATAACAATATCGAGTTATTTTTTAAAAATTTATATTAAGTCGAAAAACAAAAAGTAAATAACAAAGTAAATAACAAAGTAAAGTTATTTGTAGTACCTGCATCCAATTCTCGATTATATTAGCAGAGACAATATCCAACATATTTTTCATCACATAGTATCCACAATCATTAGAGTTATGTTGTTGCCTTGTCTACAATTGAATGACATAATTAGTGAATATTTATCATAAATTTAACTATAGAATTACAATTTACATCACACTTACATTGGGATGAAGCCATGTAGCCTTTTTTCTATTTCCATTTGCCATTTGATGAATCCCAAAAGAACTAATACAGAAAGATAAACATCACATAACTAAATATACTCGCCAATGAAAAATCACATAACTATTAGTTGTCAATGAAAGTCACATGAAAGATAAACTTACTTTGTAATAATTTTCTTCGTGTTCTGGTCAATTTCCCACAAGACTTTATTTCATCAAATCCCACAAGACTTTATTTCATCAATCCAAACATAGCCTGGGTTCAAATCAAATGAGGACAAGATACCAATCTGGTATAAGATCAAACATTGGGCAAACCTCTAAAAGTACATGGGGTCAACTCAAATGGGGACAAGATCACAATCATGTGTAGACGAGATCAAAAGATTTCACAGTAACTCATTACTACAAAACTTAATTGTAACACACAGTGCCATAGTAACTCATTACCACAAAACTTAATTGTAACAAACAATGCCATGAGACCATTTACTACATCTTGAATTATTGCCAACATAAGAAATCAATTGAAACTCTATAAACAAGAGCATAACAACAACAAAGCTAAGTCAATAGAAATAAGCTGTTATATAAAAAGGATCCTCAATATTAATTCAACAATACAAAGTTGATAAACTAACAAAAACCTTTTTCAAATTTCTGCAAATAAAAACGGGAAGAAAAAAAATGACACAAAAACCCACATATTAATGTTCCTGACTAATTTTGAAAATCCAAAAAATAATGGTTCATATAATATGAAATATGAAAGTAAGTGATGGAATGGAATCCATATCACTTCAAGTAAATGACACGAAATATGAAATAGAATAAAATATGGTATGTGATGAGATGAATGGATAAAACACATATTGTTTCATTTCATTCAATCCGATTTTAACTGATCCAAACAATGAAATATGACTCCATTTCATTCCATACGACTCTATTCTATAGAATAAAACAGAATAAGTAAGAGATCAAACATTAGAGAGAGATTTGATTTCACTTAATCCATTACTACAAAATTGTTACACACTATGCTATGAGATCATTACCATTATCATGTATTATTGCCAAAATATGAAATCAATTGAAACTCTATAAACAAAGATATAATAACATCGGTAAGACATAATAGAAATAAGGTTTTATATAAAAAGGATCTCAACATTAATTCTACAACACGAATTGATAAATTAACAAAAAAAAACCATTGTCAAATTTCTGCAATAACTGGAAAAAAAAAGTTTTCTTCAAACAGAACCATCTCTCATCATCCTACTGCAGAAACCTAACCTTGGCAATCCAAAGAAAACGGCTCTTCAACGGTACTGCAAACAATAATAAAACAATATTAATCATAAACAATAGTATTAACAATTGAGGACATCACATTGAAACAAAATATTAACCTTGATGAAACCAATTTCCTTGGCATTGCTATGGAAGCACTGCCTACAGCACATGAGTCCATACTTCCTAATCAATCCATGTGAATTCCCACACACACGGCTACAAGCAATAAATAAACAACAATAATCAAAAACACAATCATCAATCCTAACGAAAAGAGATAGATTCAGAAACCCTAAATTTGCGAAATTGTGATTTGAACATGAACATACCAAGTGCGTGAACCAGGACCGTAGGTCTTGGGGTGAGAGTTCCAAACGTTGCTGTGTCCCATGGCTGATTGCTTTTTGCTTGATTCTCGCCGGTGAGACCAAACGCCGCCGCTGCTGTAGATTTCTGCGAAAGTGAAAGGGTTTTCAAATCTGCAAATACTATTTATACCGAGAACGTGAGTCGTTGACGGCGTTGCGGCGAAGTGGCAGCTAAGGTTGACGGCGTCGCGGCGAAGGTGAGTCGTTGACGGTGTTGGAGGAGAGACGAGAAAATGGGTCGGAGGAGAGACGAGAAAATGGGTCGGAGAAAATGGCAGCGGCGGCGAAGGTGAGTCGTTGACGGTGTTGGAGGAGAGACGAGAAAATGGGTCGAAGAAAATGGCAGCGGTGGGCGTCGCGGCGAATGAAGTCGTTGAGGGTTTTAGGAGAAAATGGGTCGGAGAAAATGTACAGTGTTCGAGAATGTGGACTTTTTCAATTTTGAATTTTGTTTTTATAATTTTTTACATCGGTGGAAAATCCAACCGATACAAGCCGTTGGCTTTTACATCGGTGGAAAGTCCAACCGATACACGCGTTTTATATGATTTTTTAATATATTTTATATATTAATTCAAGCGAGTATTTTTTACATCGGTTTTTATTTAAACCGATGTAATATCTTGCTTATATTTTTTTTATGTTTTTGTCACCTTGTTTCTTATTTACAAAAATGCCACCGTGTTTTTTTTCTGGAAATCTTTTACATCGGTGGATGAGATTGCCCGATGTAATAGGTGGCGAAATTTTTTTTTATATCATTGCAAATAAATACCTGATGTAAAAAGTTTGTTAATTGTATTTTTTACATCACTTATTTTGATATCCGATGTAAAAACTTTTTCTCAAATGTCTTTTTTTTAGTAGTGTCATTTCAATTAGTGTTCAACATCAACATTGCTTGATCAAGTGTGTTCTTGATCATTATCCTAAGATGTAAACATTTGGGTTAGTAATCACTGAGTTAGAAGCTCAAGAACTCATGCCCTCGAAATTGCAAAATGACAACTAATGTTTGGAATTTTCTTTAGTTTGAGTTCTTTGTTAAGATGTTAACATGTTTAATTGACTTGTGCATATAGTTTTTGGTCATGATTGAGTCATATGCTAAGTGAATCACATTATTTGGTTCACAAGTTGATAGTTAGCTACTTTTGACCTAATTTGGGTACCTAGTTTTCCTTGAAGATGACATTTCTTGTGAGACTTAGTTAATATGAACACTTTGTATATTCTTATGACTTGTCATGTCTATGTGTCTAATTGCATGATATTTGTTCATTTGTTTACCATGGATAATTGATTCCTTTTGAGGACGATATTGATTGAATATTGTTTAGTTACTTAACTATGTTTTGAGTATGATGTTTTGTGGAAACTTGTTGCAACCATGAGCTACATTTTGAATTTAATTCTTGTTTAATATATGCTTAATCATGTTTTCATGCCTTAATCTTAATGCCTTGATCATTTGTTGCTTAATTCTTAGGAGCTATTTGTGATTATTGATTGGTCTTTTGACCTAATTTTACATTGATCTTCTTGTAAATATTTCTTAACCTTTTAAGTATGTTTATGATGAGTTCCTTATGATGTAGCTACTTATTTGTAATGGTTCTCACTTTATTTACTTTAAATCATCTTTGTATACCTAGTTTGAATAAGTGATTGATGCCTAAAACCTTGCATGCTTGTGCACCTTGTTTGTTTGCTTTTCATTAGGTTTTAAAAACTTAGGGTTAAAACCTTTTAAAGCATGACCCTTAGGGGATTTGTGTGTGAGCCTTAGTGTTTAATTTGATACATTCTTGTTTATTTGTTGATGATATGAAGCATTCTTAAGTCTTAGCATTGAAGTTTGCAACTTGTAGTTGATTAAGAAATCTTCATTTATAGTTGTATATGAAGGTATAGGAAACACAAGAAAGGGGGGGGGGGGGGGGGGTTTGAATTGTGTTCATAGAAAATATTCCCCATTAAAATTCTAAGCACTCAAATGATAATAGCAGTAAAGATAATGAAGATAAAGGACAAAAGTATTTTATCCAGGTTCATTGTTAACTAGGTTACCCCTATCCACCCTTGCAAGGATGATTTCGCCTTATCCAATAACTTAATCTACTATAAACAAATTGATTACTATCGCACGGACAACCGCCAGTGACTAACACACAATGACACATTCAGGGATCCAAAATGGATATAACATTCATTGACCCAATAGAATCTGGTTCCTCAGAATCTACTACTGGGATTTCCTTGCAAAGATATCCATCAGGGATCTCACAAGAGTCTGACCTTCACTCAGTCCTCTTTGAGATATGACTATCATTGACCCAACAGAATCTGATTCCTCATAATTTCCTATCAGGATTTCCTATAATGACCGCAACCATTATCTTCTTGAGATTAGACCTTCACTTAGTCTCTAAGGAACTAATCAAAAACAATTGATGGGTTCTTGTGTTTACATGAATGCTTCTTCTAAGCATATTAAACAAGTGTTTTAAGCACATATTGTTTAACACTTCTTCGAGCAACAACTCAAGTGTTAAAACAATTTACATTAAGAGATATGAATAGAAACACTATTTGAGCAATAACTCTAGTGTTCATTACAATGTTCTACAAAGATGTATATGATTAGAAGTTTGGTATCATCTTGTAGTGTTCTTCATCTTCTTGTTGATCAAGCTACGAGAACAACTCCTTCCGTCTTCTGAGATCTACCAAAATGTATATTATTGGAGGTTAAATAACATTTTATAGTCTTCTTTCTTTTCTCTCTTCTTTATGGTGGTCTTCAGTATGCATAGCATTGCAGCTTTAACATCTTCAGAGTCCACTGCTTTCCATCCACGGGATGAAGCTTCTTGACCAATGGCAACGGTTAAACCGCTAACCAGCCATTTATCTTTGAAGCTTTGATCATCTTTTATAGCCCTTGACAAAGAGAGATGTTGTGAGGATATACCAGACTTTTCATGCACCAACGGTTAGTTCCCAACAGATAGATTAAGGTGAAAGAGTTTAGGCAGTATAAAATAATTTTTTTGTATCTTGTCACTATTCAAGGAGAGCTTTCCACCTTTTCCTATGAATAATATTTTTTTGTTAATCTTGTAAACAGAGATTCGTTAAGTAACGAAAGATAGTTATAAATCCAGTTGTTTGTTCCCAACGGTCACAATGAGAGTGGTTGTCAATATAATATAAAGGATTGTCCTTAAGCCACCCTAGAGGGTAGAGGTCACAGACACTTTATGTACCTTTTGCATAACATCACACGTTAACCATTTTAAATTTCTTCTTATCTTCGCATGCTTCAGATATTTGAATGTTGGAGCTTGTTGTAGAAGAATCTTTCTTATGATCCTTAGAACCTAAGTCTTGGAGTTTTTAGAACTTGTCACATAAAACCTTTTTCTTCAGAGTCTTCAGCACTTGATTGTAAGAACTTCCTTTTATTCAGATCATCAGAACTTTCTTAGCAGAACCTTGTTCTTCATTATCTTCAGAACTGGTAACACATAAGTAAAGCTTTAGAAGGCCTCCAAATCTAAACGACAAAGCCATGATCAGAACATCTTGTACTAACATTCCTAAGACACGTTGCAGAAGATCAGTTCAAAACCTTGACTTTATCGAAACATGTAACCACATGTTTTCTTCCATAGTGTATATTCAGAACCTGATGACGTCACACACCTTGTACTATAGTCAGAACATTATAGAAGCAGCTACACACTAGCGAAACCTTTAGTGTGTACAATTTTTCTCTAAGATAACATGTGAAGTTATCATCAAAATATCAAGGCCAGATGTAGGAAACAATTTTTGTTCTTACAATCTCCCCCCTTTTTGATGATGACAAAACTATGTATTTTGATAGAATAATTTATACAAGGTAATCACCATAACCGACAAATTCAAGTTAAGCTCACAACCCCCCCCCCCCCCCCTGAATTTGTTAAACCCAAAATTTCATTTAAGCTTCTTTAGAGTCTCCTCCTGAGCCCAAGACTCACAAAATAAATTTTGAGCATTCAGAACATAAGAATAGAGAAGTAACACTTCCCTACAGCAACTCATTAGAGTCTGACTAGAACACCTAGTCTTCACAGAACCTGATTCCTGTCAGCACTTGATGAAGAATCAAAACTTGATTTGAGCCTAATTGAATAATGCCACACATTATGTATCAGCGCTTCTAGACCATGATTCTGATATCATAACCAAAACACTATGCTTCTCAAGCATCATCATTTGATATGATATTATCCACTATATCAGACATTCAGACAATTCACAACTTCTAAATAAAGCGTATGTTGCTGAAGCACATGTATCAGAGCACAAATTTTGAGTGACATCTCAGTATGATAGCATGCATCAGAATGTTGACTTGACTTCCTTCCAGGAGAGCACAACTTCTGAGCTTTGAGTCTGAATTTCATACTTTCAAAAAGTTAACAACTTCTGAACATTATGATATCAAGCAATATTACCTTACTTTCAGTAAGTTTATAACTTCTGAATTGTGTTTGGTATATCTGTTTGAATATTCATATATTCACAAGATGTACAACATCTTAGATATAAAATCAGATTTGACTTTGTCATCCATAAGGTTTTCAACCTTTACTTCAGGATCTTATTCTTCAACCTATCTTTGAATACTTGGTGAAATTTTTTAGAGTTCCCAAATTGAAACATCAAACAAATAGTTAGTAGCAACAACATTATACATGTTTGTTTATGTGTTATCAAAATCATCATTTTACTTTCTTCCCCTTTGTCAGAAATCAAAAAGGTGATAAAGGGACAGGGAAATGAACTTTGAAGAAAAACATATTCAAGCCAGAAAAATTGTTTGGATAAAAGTTAAGTTAAGTTATATCTTTAAACATGATATTTTTAAAAGAAATGTTTGGTAAGACTTTATGAAAATATTGATTCAGCACACATATATCCAATGTGTCAAGTAACAAAAATAATTTTATTGATTAAACAGGAACAGAAAATAAATTGAAATATCAGATGAAGGAAATAAGTGAGAATATAATTTAGAACAAATTAATTATAAAATTAGAAGGGTAATAAAGATAGAGAAAAGTTAAACTAAGGAGGTAATTAACATAGGAAATATAATTCATTGAATGAAAGAAAAACAATACAGACTCAATAAAGCATCTAGCGATAGTAGATATAGAGACACTTAAATAATAAACAGACATCATTCAACCCTCAAAAGACTTCACACTTTTTCTTTACCAGACCATTTTCATGATCATTTCTCCGGATACCCAAAAAGAGTCCTTTTCTAAAGAAGATTTTAGATATTCCAAAAGGTATGAAGGTTGGATACATATATCCCTATTTCAAAAGGAAACAGTTGATATACAAGTAGTTAGCATGGTACAAG